ATCGCATCACATTCCAAGCACTTTATTTTATAGACACAATTAGAGAATCTTAAGGGATTTGGTCTTTTACATGGACAAGTTTGTTTCGTAGTGTGTCTGACGTTTGAAGAAAACTAGCCAAGTTGTTTAATTTTGCCTTATTTAGTTATGATCACTTTGGGTTTTTTCGTTCACGTTCCCGAGTGGAATATAGGGCTTCATACTAGCGGCTGGAAGTTTCTGTAGCAGTGTTTATTTTACAGTATGGGGTTGCTAGACCCATGCCAACCTTTCCTCTTTACCAGCATTATTTCTGGCTCAGCGAGGTAAAGGAGTGCGTCGGCAGGGGATCGAACCCCGGACCATGGGGATGGTCGGCGAGCGTCCTAACCGGTATGCCACCGACGCATAGTTAGTTAATTATGGTGATTTCAGTAGTTGTCCTTGATCTTAAAAATATCTCTACCGAGATCTTTCAGCAGTTAATCCTCTTTTATTCAAAATATTTTTAATATACATGGGCAGTGGATTTCTCTTATCAGTAATTAACTGTTTAGTGGTTGAAAATTCACATGGTCATTGCATGACAAACTTTATTAAGTGCCATTCTCATCGAAACTAAATAATGTAGCTACCTATCCTCTGTTACACTTAGCTCTCATGCATTAAAATGGTCTTTAGTACATTTGATAAGCAACCTTTCCATTATTTTATTGAACCGATTAGTTTTTTAGAGAAAGGTGTGATATGCATGGGTTAACCTGTCCCCTTTTTCATATTCTCTTCTTCTAGTCTGCGTATGAACAGATTTAATAGTTTTTTTTTCAGACTTGAAATCCTTCAGGAATTTCCTCTCTGAGTATATTTTATTAATTAGACTGTGTTGAAAGTATTTCTATTCTATTCATCCTTTCGACTATCTTAATGTTGTGTGCGAATATTCGAAATGAATAATGCAAGCGGCAGTAGTATTGTTAGTTCGCTTTTTCGCATCATTGCGTACAAATAGAAGTCATACGACAGGAAATCCTACGTGAATTCATTTTGTTCGTCTTTATATTTCTTTGTTCAAATTTGAAAAGTAATTCCATTTTGGCCTAGAATCGCAACCATTTCCTCGTATATGTTGATCTGTCTGGTTAATCTATGAATAGTACTTTGTTTTAGATAAGCGGAGTCTCGGTGTTGAAAGGGATAATTTCATCATTTATTTTTGGTTGAACACGACCACCAGTGGAATACGAGGTGCGTGCTTCGTTCACTGTGGCACTCATCGGCAAGGTGTACCATCACTAGAGCCCTGCACCAGTCGTTTGAAACGCGAAAGCATCTATCAGTAGGCCACCACTTATCACCAACACCTACTGAAAATACTGAAATTCTCAGATATCATCGAAGAGTCCGTACTAGGAACCGACATATCAACTGTGGCAGAACATCTAGGTCCTAATAATCAACGGGAAAAACAGGATCCATATGAACAAATACCAAGTGATGCTCTTTTGCACAATAAGTGGATCTCACGGTCCTCGTGACCTAGAAGATAATACGTTTGCATTATAAAAGATGAGTGCAGGTACCGAGTCTTTTCGGGAATATCATCACTTACCAGAAATGTAAGTATATCTAGATGATGGGTCCCGATAAGACGAAATGCGCTTCCTGCATTCCAACTCCAGTCCCTCTTCATTAAAGATAACTTCATGGGAATCCTTAATTATCACTGAGACGTAGTTACTTGGCGCTGACATGTCAACACAGACTAAGGATTTTGGCTCAACATAACCAATTAACAGGAAATGAAAAAGTAATCTGAAAACAAGTTCAACATTTCATCTTTTTTAAGGGAAACCCAAGGCGTCTGGAAGTACTGTGCGTACAAATCTTATGAATTGGTTGTAAAAAAACCTTAGTTTTTAGTTTTCATTGATGGTTTTACCTTTTGAATGTGATTTGATTCAAGTTTATTGCTATTTCTTGTATAAAGCAAGATGATGTTTAACTCAAAATATAACATTGAGGTTTCAAGTGTTCCTTAATAACCTCTTGATAATTCCTGCAAAATTATTCGTACCTTTTTTTTGCCTGACATTCTTGCTTTCCTTAGCTTCCTTATTGATAATCAGATTGTTGCAGTTATCACTGTCATTTGATTTACGTGTGGATGTACACGAGTATACTTCGCCATCCATATTTACACTACTCATCCAACATTTTCCACTAACCTTAAACTTATAAACTTAGGATTTAAAACGTACGTGTAAGTCAGCTGTCACTCAAGCTTCCGACTTTATACTTTCGACATTTGAGAGGGTTTCACATCTTATGTGTAGTGTCGTTTTATTTGAAGACGTCTTTTCAAAGTTTGTCATACAAACCTAGAAATAATGGGAAAGATATGTAGCTCAGGTGGGTGATTTTGACTTATTTGTGTTCCCTTAGGTGGTCGATTTAATTGAGATGCTTTCGTTGTCCTTCTGGATAACACCTTCTACAGAGGTCTTCATATAAAGTGGACTTGTTTGAATTCTGCAAGAACGATATAACTGTATCTCCTGACAACCATTATTGTGATTTGTCGATTTACATTGACAGTTTTTATTTGCTTGGAATCTGTGTTTTCTTATCATGTGGTTTATTTTTTATTGATTGGTAAATTTGTTCCTTAGTAGTGTTTTTTTAAAAGAGGATTCATCTGAATTTCCTGGAAATTCCTTGTTTCCATTGGCATTTTTTTCTCCGTTCAAGACTTCTATATTTTCCCAATACATATTTTATCTCTTCACAGATAATTTAGGTCCTTGGATTCTGATCTGAAACGGACACCCACTTTAACCAGTATTATGTTCTTCTCAGTTTATGCAAATTCTCTTACAAGTGGTACTGATTTTGTATTCTTCTGCTGTTGGGTAATTGTGTTGCCTTGTGTGCAGCATCTATTCCGAACAGTTTTAGTATTCTAGCCGTTATTGTAGAGGCATGGAGTAGAATTATTGGTAGAATGAATTTTCTTGTAGTCTGTGAGGCTGGTATCTTGTTTGGTATTTCGATTTTAGTTTAAACATTTTTTCCATATCACTGTATGAGTCAGTAGGTATTTTTCCTTTATTTTTCTCAGTACTGGAGTACTACAGTGTATTTGAACCCTTCTCAACAGTACCTATACTTAGTTTCTTTTGAGTCATTGGACTGTCGCTTTTAGAGTTGAGCATTTGATCTATACTTTTGTGTATTGATTTCCTGTATACTTTTGTGTGTGTTATTTCTCTTGATGGAGACATTTTAGAATGGAATGTCTTAAAAAAGCAGGCCAATGAAAAGTTTAGTCTGAATAAATCTTAGTATACGCTATGCTATTTCTAGAATTACTACCATTTGAAGATTAATTTCCAACTTCTATTTCTATTATTTGTATTTCCAATAATTATTTGTTGTAGCCTTTTATTCTGGGTAATCAAAATCTTTATCATGAAAACCGGTTTTCGCGAACTAATTTTCTTCGGTTATTAATACATCTTTTAATTCCTAGAGGAACATAGGGCTTCAGCTGCACTTCTCTATTGCTTTCGGTTCTCTGCCAACGTTTTCACCTGGCTCCTCGTCACCCACATGCTTTCATTTTCTCTTAGCATGACCTCCTACGTGTCACCCTTGCACTGACGACCAACTCACTGCTTCCTATTCAGTCGGGTGCCACTCGACAGTCTGGCTTGTGGTGTCGTTTTCTCAGAGTATGACCAGTCAACCCACCTCCATTTCTTCCTGCATATTTGTTGCACAATTGGTTCTCACTGGTTTGGTTCGCTCCCAGAGATCTCTCACTATTGCTGATCTTTTCTAATCGTCTGATCTTGAATAGTTTTGAGCAGAGACAGCTGTTTATGAAGGTCTCTAGTTTGCTCGAAGTGCTGTTTGAACAGACAACTAAATGTTTCAGTTCTACAGTTTGGTATATTTTCGTCATTTCTACCATACTGAATATCATAAAGTGAAAGGAATTACCAAACCTGCTTTAGCTGTGTTGTGATGCAGTTATTCGGGACAGACTTGTCAAGTGTCAGGCTATGAGTACCACTTATTGGTGAAAACCTGATAATCGATGGCACAAATTCACCCATGCTGAAGTAAATGAGGTGGAATTTGAACTCATGACCCAGTAGTCAGGGAGTCATATCTTGACTACTGCTTTAACAATGAAACTGATCAAACAATTAAGAAAATTAATTTTTGCAGCTAAAATCAGTTAAAACAATTAGTCCCTTTTATAAATTTTGATAGCGTTATTAGAAGATGGGGACTATTTGAAAAATGTGATGTATTAGCGCTTTACATTTCGAACAATCTGATCACACATTTACTTGTCAAGTCAATATATATAGAAAGAATAAATTAAACAAAGTGAGAGAAAAAGGAATTAAGAATAGTTAACACAAACGTTTGGTAATCCAATCAAATAAGGATTACCAAGGTAGGTTAGGAGTAATAACAAATTGTTTTTGAATACACAAGTGGGGCTTAAGTCTATGAATAGCTATAGCCTCAGCGTATAGCTATTCTAATAACGCTATTGAAAATCTGTTAGTTTGAATGAGAATAGAGATATTTTCTGGAATATTTTCTTCATTTGTACAAGCTGGATCATCCAGTAGATTATGTAACTGAACTTTCCTCTGAATTTAAGCAAATTTTGATATCTTTTGCATCTCACTCTGAAGAAAGTGTATTTACAAAAGTTGATTTCCAGGGATTGTTGTCAGTTCAAGAACCATTGAAAACCGGCAGGGAATACTGGACAGCTGTTTCATCTTAGTCTTTGAGACTCTTCAGAAGTACGCACCCATGACACCACCAGAAATAACACTGAAAACCTTCAGATTACGAAACCATGCGCGTTGGCTACTCACAGTCACTATGTCCAGTCATACAGTGCCCCATGGTTTCCAGAGGTTCTCTTACTGACGTCGGTCGTTGATGAAACAGGAAAATATATTCCTTTTGTTTGTTTTTTTTATAAATTTTAGATTTGTGGTACAATCTAAAGAAAATGAAGGCGAAAGAAAATCCTGTGAAATATCAGATAAATAATGTGGAGGAGTATTGGTACATTGCATTAATTTCTCTTGGTCATTGGGCATCATTTCCATTAGATATAGAAGATGATTCCCTAGTGAAATTCGACTTCAATGTATCAATGTCTAAGCTTGATATGCATATAATTGCTAAATCCTACTATAAAATGATAAATCTAGCCAAAGTGAAAGTTTAACCGATAAACATTTATCAAAAACAACGATTACTTGATTAAAAAGACAGGATGAAGAAATCGACAATGGATACCTCTGACACGTGTTCTTCTTGTTTTTTTGCCATTATTACGTGCATGTTTTGTTATTATTATTATTAATGACATGAACTTGGTTATTAAGTGTTTCTGTTAATTATCTGCATGTTAATGAGATTTTTCAGCAAACAAAATAATGATATAATTTGAGGGAGAGGAGCTTTGTTGATATACTCAGAATTATTGATTTTTCTTGTTTACTGTATAGAGTTGTCTATTTCAAGGCAGAGAAAGTTTGAGTAACTTAAGGAATTGTTCATGTCAAAGTCTTGCAATATTTAATGGTTGTAATGACAGCTTTCCTCTTGTCAATGCCTATGTAATGTGCGGAATTTACTGTATAATAATTTCTCTTCAGCGAAGATCTTCAAGAAAAATTGTTATTGAAAGTAGATTTGAAGCTCAAACCAATCCATGATAATGTTTCTTCCTTGTCTACTTCCAAAAAATATGTACCCATTTTGGTTAAAATCAAGTGCAAAAAGGTGACAGTACTACATTTGGTGATCTGGGAGACACAAGTGAATAAGTGAAGACTGCAGATGTTTACTTCCATTTCTCAGGCAGTAGCACTTTGTAGAGAAAATCTCATGTATTGGGATATGCTACCACCCTTCTTCTAAAGTCTAGTAGGAACTTGAAGGTCAGTGGTGTGCCAAAAATTTGAATACACGCGAAAGTAAACAATACCATTAGAGGTCATATTTTTATAGACTAATGATACACCCTTTTGGTAGCTCAAGGTTTAAAGCAGGTCACCATCTTAATAATCAAGCTGACGAATGATGAAATGAGGAATTAACATTTTTTCTGATGTGTTCTCACATTTTCGATTTACGGTGTTCATGTGTAAGGTTGACATCACTTACTAATGAGCCCAAAGTAATGCAACTGACATCTCAAGGATGTATGTCACATTTCGTAATGGGATCACAATCACATATGCTAACAGAGATCCCGTTTATGCATTCTGTTTATTGACGGGCACCATTACTTACTTTACTCCTTCACGTTCCCACTGGAATAAATGGCTTCAAGCTAGAGGCTTGAAGTTTCTGTAGAAGTGTTTATTTTTTCTAGGATGGGTTGATTAGCATCATGCCTAACCTTTTCTCTTTACCAGCTTTATTAATGACTTAGTGAGGTAGAGGTGTGCGTTGGCTGAGGATCGAACCCCAGACCCCATGTTGACGAGCGTCCTAACCGCTGCGCCACCGACGCACGACAGGCATCATTAACGAATTTGAGTTGGTTTTTATTGACTGTTGAAGGTAAAGTTGAGAAATAGAACTGAGTATATCACTTTATTGAGACTACATTGCTAAAATTATACAGTCAGAATATACCGTCAGTTCCGTATGCAAACTTAAGAGTTAATCTGAATGATAGAAAATACTATGTGCATCGGTGGCACAGTGGTTAGGCCGCTCGCCGACCATGTTTATGGTCCGGAGTTCGATCCTCGACCGGCGCACTGCTTTACCTCGCCAATAAAAAGCCGATAAAGAAGGAAAGGTTGGGCATGAGGCTAGCAGCCTCATCCTGTAAAAGTAAACACTGTTACAGAAACTTCAAGCCACTTGCTTGAAGCCCTATGTTCCACTGGGAACGTGAAGGAAAAAAATAGATGATACTATAAACCCTGCGATTACAGTAAGCAAGAAAGTTCCGGTTTCCATACTTTTCTGGCTTTATTCAGATAATGCGAATATCAGACCGATGAAAGCTTATCATGAATATATATCGGTAATACTAAAAGTATTATTCTGGAGTCATTTGTTTCACGCAAACAATATGTTTTCATATCATAAATGAGCTATCTTGTTCTTTATGACTAACATTCAAGATATCAACATAATCTAATGGTCAGTTCCTAATAGAACACTTCATTAAAACAACATCAGATGAATTCTTAGGTGAATTCTCGGATGAAATACATAGTTATTGAACACCTGTTGTTTGAAGGACAGTTATAGTCAACACGGTGAATGACTAAATATATTTTTAATCCAGAAATCTCCACCTCAACATAAATTTAGATGATATGGGCAGAGATCAAGCTTAACGTAATGAATGAAAGAACTAATTCTTCTCTGAATCTGTTGTCAGGCCGACAATGACAAGTGAATCGATCCCGATAACTTCATCTGAAACAACAGAAGACAAGGGCCGGCAACAGATCGTTTTTACAGTTTACAGTTTACAATTTATTTAGGATAGTAGGCTATATGCCTGTGTTAATCCTTTCGATTTATTTCATACAGGAGGTCCAATCTCGCCTTGAATGAATCAACGGATGGCGCTGATACGACATGTTCCGGTAGGGAGTTCCAATGGTTCACAATTCGATGCGAAAAACGGATTTCCAGACGCAGACGATTCGACCGTGGTTTTTGAACCTTGAGGTGATGTCCTCGCAATTGGTTGGTGCTAGAAGGAAGAAATAATTTAGATAAATTAGCTCCAAAATCATTTCTTAGGATACGGTATGCTAGTATTAGGTCACCCCTAAGTCGTCTGTATGACAGTGGAAATAAACCCAGTCGACTTAACCTCTCCTCATATGACAGGGTTGAGAAACCCTTTATTAGCTTAGTTCCTACTCTTTGCACCCTTTCTAATAAGTCTATTTCGTATTTGAAACACGGGCTCGCTGCCTGGATCCCATATTCCAAATGAGGTCTGATATAAGTCGGATATAATATACGAAATATATCAGCGTCAAAGTTCGCAAAAGCCTTGCGTATGGCCCATAACATTCTAAAACCCTTAGTGGCTGCAGTTCTACAGTTTGTTGCTGTTTTCAAGTCATGCTGCACAACCACTCCCAAGTCCTTGTACTCAGTGACCACTGGGAGAGTAATGCCATTCATTGAGTAATTGTGCACGTGACTATGGGATACATGCATAACTACACTCTTGCTTAAGTTAATCTCCAAGGCCCAGTGCTTACACCAATCACTTAACAAGTTTAAATCTTCCTGCAAAGCAAGTTGATCACTGTCATCGTGCAAAGCCCTCCATATCTTGATGTCATCAGCAAACAGTAAGCAGGATGACTTAACTACCGATGGAATCTCATTAACATAAATCAGGAAAAGAAGTGGGCCTAGAATTGTACCCTGAGGAACGCCACTCTTAACCGATTCCCATGTTGATAAAACCCCGTTAACTCGTACTCTTTGTCTTCTGTCCTTTAGAAAGTCTTGAATCCAGTCGGTAACCACTTTATTGATTCCCAGACTACCTAACTTTACTAGAAGACCTGAATGAGAAACCCTGTCAAACGCCTTGCTAAGGTCTATGAATATGGCATCCACCGGTATATTAGCATCAGCTGAGCTTGCCCAACTTTCTCTGGCCAAAAGAAGGTTGGTCAAGCAAGAATGACCTGCTCTAAAACCGTGCTGTTCCACAGCGAAAAGTTTGTTCCCTTCAATGAACTGAATGATAGCATCACGAATTATTCTTTCTAGTAGTTTAACAACAATACTGGTCAAACTAACAGGACGATAGTTCTGAACTAAGTTTCTAGATCCGGTTTTGAAGACCGGACTAATGATGGCATCTTTCCAGTCTCTTGGACATTTAGACTGGTCCAGAGACATATTGAAGATTACCGACAATGGCTCGGCTATGCTTTCAGCCAATGCTGTTAATATACGTGGGTGGAGTTCATCAGGGCCACTGGACTTACCAGGATTGAGCCTTAGAAGCCACTTTAGGACAGTATCCTTTCCAATGTATAAGGGTGCCATTTTCAAGTTACCTTCTGGAAAATTTACAAAGCTGGTATCAATATTATCAGAGAATACTTGACTAAAGTGCTTGGACAAAGCCTCAGCCTTGGTCAAGTTATCCTCAGCCATGTTTGTCTGGTCATCTTCAAGCATAAGAGGTGGGATAGCATCACTCTTACGTGTTCTTCTCTTGATATATGAGAAGAGTCTTTTTGGGCAGCCTGGTGAACTTTTAACTAACTGGGTTTCGTAAGCTATCCTTGACTGGTGGATCAAAGTTTTACACTGGTTTCTGGTTTCACAGTATTTCAGCCGGAACTGCTGTAGCCCAGTAGAAACAAAGAGATTCCAGAACCTTTTTCTCCGTCTCAGGAGTGTTATAGCTTGTCTATTTATCCATGGTGGCCGATTTGTTGGCCTTTTAGGAACCCTCCAGGGGATGAGATCAGTGGTAACCCTCTCAAGTGTATTCTTAAATCTATCCCATTCATCTTCAATGGATGAGACAATGTTGACTGACCAGTCGGCAGTTGAAGCACGCTCCTTTATAGCCACTATGTCAGCATGCCAAACACTAGGCCGGGATTTGGGTTGAAAACTGACTAAATTGCCAGCCCTTAAGTTAAAATCTAACACCCCATGATCACTGTTTGCTAGAGGTGGATGAATAACTAGACCATCCACGTCGTCGTTGTCATGAGTAAGCACTAAGTCCAGCAAGGAAGATCCTTGGGTAGAACCGAATCTTGTACTACCTAAGACATGTTGTGTCAGGGCATTTTCCATGGTTGTCAAGAGTAACCGGCTGTCAAACTTATCAGCGGATCCTGGAGATGTGACAGCTACCCAGTCTATATGAGGTGCATTAAAATCACCTAGAATAAGACAGCTACTGTGTTTACTCCATTGTTTGAGGTGATCTAAAATGAAGTCATCACACTGACAATAGGGACTTCTATACAGAACTCCAATGAGTAGAGTGCCGGTTGCAAAGCTTACTTCACAGCTAATTACCTCACCTGTCCCACTGTCATGAGCTTCAGATTTCACGGAACGAACATGTAGGGAGTTGTTGATGTACAGAGCAACCCCGCCACCTCTACGACCCTTAACTCTGTCGCTGCGCAAGCAACTAAATCCGCATAGCTCAGGTGTGTCATCTAATCCCGAAACCAGCCATGTTTC